ACATATAGCAAAAATGAGAGAGGCTATAAACTCGTTCAGAGCTAAGCTAGTTTTGTAATATCACATTTGAAAAATGAAGCCTTCTGTGCATTTTCCAAACATGGAAAAAAAATGATAGGTAACAGTGAAATTGACATATCAGCATTTGTCATTAACCTCCAATTGCTTAAAGATCAATTTGAAAAGCGCTTTCAAGAATTTAATATCATCGAGCCTTTGATAACATTTTTTGTTAATCTTTTTAAAAACCAAATAAATGTAATCGTAATAGCAACATACATTTCGGAATTTCTTCAAGTAAAGCGAGACGAAGTGGAGATAGAAATTGTGGATCTTCAGAATGACATTATCCTCAAAACTATCATATCAGATGAGAAATTCTGGAATATAGTTTGAAGGAATAAATTCCATTCTTAAAAAGAGCAGCACATAAAATAAAGTCGTTTCTTGGTTCCACATACTTGTGTGAATCATTGTTTTTGACAATGAATATCATAAAATAGAAATATAGATCCTGACTTAGAGATGAACACCTTGACGATTGCTTGCGAGCAGGAATTTCATCATATTCTCCCAATTATGAAGCACTGGCCAGTGGAATGCCATACAAAGGACCCCATTGACTGTATTTTATAAATAATTTTTATACTTCGCATGTTTTGAAAGCTATTTAGTAATCATTTATTTTACACAAGAATATTAATACTAATTATATTCATATGTTAAATTAATTTTTTCAATTAAATTTTTGTGCATTATATGTAGTGTGTATTATTACCTATGTCTATCAACTTTAAAATTATCTTGAAAAAATAAATGGTGCCCGCCATTCTGGTAGTTGCTCTTTGGAACGAATAGGTTGGGGAACCCTGGTCTAGTGTATACGTTGTGGGGACTGAGTAGCAACAGCACGAGGAGGTGGATAAGTTCCATCAAAACTATTCATATAGAGGAGGGAGTTTTTATGGAGGTAGGTGTGGGGAGAGTCATTGGTTAAATCAACCTTTATCTATGAAAAGGTACGTAGTTAACGTGTCTTATATACTAGAGAATTGGATTTTCTGTGGTGGTAGACTATGTATTTCTCTAAAAATACAGAATGTCCCAAAAAATAACTGTTGATTTGAAAAATCAAACTAAAATGAAAGGCATTTTCACTATGAAACTAGGTTTTTCTCACAAAGCTACAACATTAGTTGCACAGTTCATTAACATAATTTGCTTTTCTCTGAAAAAACTACAGAACGCTTTCTGAAAAAAACTCAATCCAGTCAAACCTTGTTAATGCAAAATTGGTTAATCATGAAAACAATTTATTATGTACCATTAATCAGGGTGGCCACTCAAAACAGATTTCAAATTTCCCTGATTTTTGCAGGTAAAAATCTTAAAATTTCCAGGTTTGTGTTTTTTTCCTTTTTTCTTATAAACTGTAGGATGTGTACAAGAAAAGTGTCAGTATTATAAAATATCTTATTCAAAATGTCATTTTTTTAAACATATCTTGAAAAAAAATTTATTTTTTTACAAGATATCTTCTTATTATTTTTTAATGCTCTGGTACATTAATTTTTAAAAAATTAAGACGTGGAGAAAATAATATGTTTAGCCTGCAGAATATATTGTTTTTATTGAATAATTTTAATTGNGTGAAATTGACTTATCAACATTTGTCATCAACCTCCAATTGCTTAAAGATCAATTTGAAAAGCGCTTTCAACAATTTAATATCATCGAGCCTTTGATAACATTTTTTGTTAATCTTTTTAAAAACCAAATAAATGTAATCGTAATAGCAACATACATTTCGGAATTTCTTCAAGTAAAGCGAGACGAAGTGGAGATAGAAATTGTGGATCTTCAGAATGACATTATCCTCAAAACTATTATATCAGATGAGAAATTCTGGAATATAGTTGAAGGAATAAATTCCATTATTAAAAAAAGCAGCACATAAAATAAAGGCGTTTCTTGGTTCCACATACTTGTGTGAATCATTGTTTTTGACAATGAATATCATAAAATAGAACGATAAAATAGAACGAACACCTTGACGATTGCTTGCGAGCAGGAATTTCATCATATTCTCCCAATTATGAAGCGCTGGCCAGTGGAATGCCATACAAAGGACCCCATTGACTGTATTTTATAAATAATTTTTATACTTCGCATGTTTTGAAAGCAATTTAGTAATCATTTATTTTACACAAGAATACTAATTATATTCATATGTTAAATTAATTTTTTCAATTAAATTTTTGTGCATTATATGTAGTGTGTATTATTACCTATGTCTATCAACTTTAAAATTATCTTGAAAACATAAATGGTGCCCGCCATTCGACCGATATTCTGGTAGTTGCTCTTTGGAACGAAAAGGTTTGGGAACCCTGGTCTAGTGTATACGTTGTGGGGACTATGTAGCAACAGCACGAGGAGGTGGATAAGTTCACGGTGTAAATTCCATCAAACTATTCATATAGAGGAGGGAGTTTTTATGGAGGTAGGTGTGGGGAGAGTCATTGGTTAAATCAACCTTCATCTATGAAAAGGTACGTAGTTAACGTGTCTTATATACTAGAGAATTGGATTTCTCTAAAAATACAGAACGTCCCAAAAAATAACTGCTGATTTGAAAAATCAAACTAAAATGAAAGGCATTCTCACTATGAAACTAGGTTTTTCTCACAAAGCTACAACATAATTTGCCTTTCCCTGAAAAAAACTACAGAACGCTTTCTGAAAAAACACTCAATTCAGTCAAACCTTGTTAATGCAAAATTGGTTAATCATGAAAACAATTTATTATGTACCATTAATACATGTTATGTATTACAGTAATGTATGCAAACAGGGCTCGAAAAACCACCCGGCCTCGGCGGTCAAAAATTCCCTGCGGACAGCAAATATCTCGAATCCGACATCCGCGCGGACGGCCATTTTCCCATTAATATCCGTGATACATTTTCAATTTTTGTTATCTTACAAGAGTCTAGCGCCTCACTTCTAAAATGACCCTAGAATCTAGAAATACACCAACATACTTTGGAATTGATGTTTTCTCTGTCTGAGAGTACTGCAGTGGTTGAAAGAGGCTTTTCAGCAATGAGCTTATAAAAAAACACATTACATACTGGTCTTAAACAAGAAGCGTTATGAACATCCACCTAAATGGAAAACCCCTTTCAGATTTCTGTGCAGAAACCTCTGTAAATCATTGGCTTGATTGTGGAACTGGCAACAACATATTTGTTTCATTTGAAAAACGAAGTACCCTCGGATAAATTGACATTCCAGATAATGACCAGATGACCTTTGTCATTTAAATTATTTCATAAAAGAAATTATTTCATAAAAGAAATACTAGGTTTTACTATTAGTTAACCTAGTATTTACAATCCTAGTAACTACTAATTCATTGTGCAATTTATATAAATGTTTGTAATAAATAAGAGAAAATTATATTTTTATTTATTTAGAAGCTACGGGTTAGTTTCAAAGGAGGATGGGTACATTGTTGGACAAGCGGTCCTCGGGGATGGGTAAAATTTCTGACTTTCTTCGAGCCCTGTATGCAAACATTATGTACCAAACAAATCAAAATAAGCTTCGAGAGATTTTTTGGTTTGATATGAGAGGGTGGAATTGAGAATAGCTTGCAAAATGCAGCAGAGGTGCATGTGAGATACGCTACGGACTGACGGTACACCGAAATGCATTGTGTTTGAATGAATTGTGAAAACGTTGAATAGCACAATGTGAAAACCACACTTTTGCATGATGCGTGGCGAAAATCAACAGGGTAAAGAATAAAAATATTATTTTCGAAAAGGGAAAATAAAGCACTTTTTAAAAACACCCAATAAAAAAAAAGAACCTTTAAGGGCTTTTAAGAAACAAAAATAAGCACCTTTAACTTCTCTAACCAATTATGTTGAGAAAAAAAAAATGCAAAATTCAACATATTTTTTATTTTATTAAAAAATACAAGGAACTAAAACGAAACCTAATACACAAGTTTTAAGTTGAAATTTTATTTTTTTATGTATGAAAAACATTTAATTTTTCATCAGCTTACTATCCCGAGTTATTGAGAAAAGGAAAAAATTTAAATATTAGTCTTTGTATCAGGGTTGGCAAGATTTTGCCGCAGGTGGAAAAAACCCTGGTAAATACCGGTAAAAACCGTCCTGGCAAAAACAGGTTTTTGCCAAGCAAAGTGGCAAAAACCTATATTTTTCAAGGTGAGAGGACAAAAACACATTTTTGATACAAAATTATTCCTAAAATTGAAATATATACTACGAATATAAATAATTACAAAAAAATTAACAAAACTATTATTCCATAATTAAATGATAATGTATCATTTTAGTAGTTTAAAACATTATTGATTGGAAAATTTGTGATTATTCTCTTTTTTCCAGTGAAATGAACTTATTTTAAATTAATACAAATATAATTTAAAGCATAAAATATCTATCAACATGTGTAGTTAATCATTGTACAAATAATAATTTTTTATAATAAATAATAGTACAGTACAGAACCCGTTATCCGGAAATCAGAAAACCAAAAAACCGGAACGAAATTCGATAAATTTTCCCGCTTTTTTTTAAAATTTTTTTTCCTCATAAGATTTTAGGATTTTTCTTTCTTTTTTGAAAGATGTTTACCCTAGCATCATTTTGGAAATAATTATTAGTGTAATACTTCGTTTTTTCAAGATTATTTCCAAATATTTTTTTTTTAGTTGGTTTAACAGTAAAAAAAAAACGACTTTTTGTAGCGATTCAGAAAACCGGAAAAATCAGTTATCCGGAATAGCGATGGTCCCGATCGTTCCGGATAATCGGTTTCCTACTGTATTATACAAATAATAATATTTATTTGTAAAAAAACATTTATTTTACGATTCTAAAATGAAAAGAGATCAAAAACTTTCAATCTTTTAAAAATTATTACCCTTAGGTATATTAATTATTAATATGTTAAAAATAATTTTTTCATGTAATGTATCAAAATTATTATTCCTTATGATTGATTTAAATTTGTTTCAAGTATTTTGTAATAATATTTAATCAGCAATTTAGATAATTTGGTTTTTGCCGGTTTTTACCAGTTTTTGCCGGTTTTTACCAGGTTTTTGCCATTGTCCTGGCAAAAAACCCTTTTTGCCGGTTTTTACCAGGTTTTTGCCATTTTCCTGGCAAAAAACCCTTTTTGCCGGTTTTTACCAGGTTTTTGCCATTGTCCTGGCAAAAAACCCTTTTTGCCGGTAAAAACTCCAACCCTGCTTTGTATGGTAGTTTTTAAAACACGGAACAACACAAAGTGATACGCCATTATTTTACCCTTTTTTTTTTACGTGAATTCAGCAACCATCGTATTTAAAATAGCAGAAAACACTTCTGCAGCCCCACAAATAGCAAAACTCCCAAACAAAAATTGGCAAACTTCCAATCACAACAGATTATTTATTTCTTTTGCTTCTGGCGGAGTAAAAACGTGATAAATCAAAACGTACTGACACATTCTGCTAAGTTATCACGGGGTAATAAATATTCGCAACATAAACATACCAGAGTTAGCTCTGGATAATTAGGGAAGCACTTTTCAAAACCATGTAAATAACCGAATGAGTACCACAACACAATTAGAACAAAGGAATTATTTTATTGATAAAACATATTTAAACAAAATATTGCACTAATTATTTAACAAAAGAGCTGATATAATTATGACACATTTGTAAACAGAGGGGAGGAGTTAAAACTAATGACTAGTATACCATTCATTGTAAGAATATTTAAAAAAAAAAAATATTTCAACAATGCAAGTATGGGGGATTTAACAATATTCAAATAAAAACATATATATATCGAAGCAAATCCCATTTTAGTGAAAGTGTTGGTATTTAATGTAAATAAGAGAGATGAAATTTTAAAAAAAACAAATAACCCGTCAGAACAAGTTTATGACTAGAATACAATTTTTTCTTAAAAAACAAAAGTTTTTTAAAAAAAAAAACACTGGTATGGTATGGGTATTTAAAGATATTCATCTGAAAGGACGGGAATTCCCATTTTAATAGAAAAGACACATGATTTAATAATCTAATCATAGCTGCTAACATGGACAGGAAAAAAATCAAGTAGATTTTATGAAATATAAATGTCATGATAAATGTTGCATAATATACTAAATATTTCACATACAAGGAATTTTTTAGGGATTTTTATAGTCATCAAAATAGAAAAACTAATATTTTCCTGTTATACTTGCCATTCAATAGGCTTGAAATGTTATGAATTATGTTTACTCATAATTTAGAACTGTAATTAATAGATATTTAATTCATCATTAGTTATATGATTTTTTTTATTAATTCAAAAAAGGAGTTCTGAATAAAAAATAGACTGAACATTTTACAATAGAAAGAATTTAAACTGATTTCTATAAATGAGAACCGCTTCATTATATATTAATATTCATTTAAATATTAAAGCAAACAATAATCCGTTCAAAAAAAAATAATATTTTAACAGAGAATTTTTTTAGGAAAACTTACACAATTTTAGGGAATTTTCAACAAAAAAAAAAAAATTTAAAAAAATAGGAGAATTTTTATTAAATCAACAGACTAAGAGAAACTAGCAAAATCCAGTAGAGCTGGCAGCTACGATATATGAACCCTAATTCATCCTAATAAAATTTCNAAAAAATAATATTTCAACAGGGAATTTTTTTAGGAAAACTTACACAATTTTAGGGAATTTTCAACAAAAAAAAATTTTAAAAAAATAGGAGAATTTTTATTAAATCAACAGACTAAGAGAAACTAGCAAAATCCAGTAGAGCTGGCAGCTACGATATATGAACCCTAATTCATCCTAATAAAATTTCATGATACAAAATAAAGTTTTTTTTCTTTTTCATAATACTCAGAAACAAAAAAAAATTTTTTTTTTTCGAACAATATAGGTGGAATGGATAAAATAATTTAACATTATTTATGGATGGTTTTATACATCACACATTAATTTTTTTAAAAATTGTCCAGTAAATTTTAATAGATCTCTTTTAATCTGCAACTAAAGGAAGTAACAGATTACATTAGTCTATAGTATCTTTAAATTTCCTACTCATTTTTAACATTGTCAAACACATTGTTATTGCCGACAAAGATGTTCACCCAGTTAAAGTGTGGGAAAATTATAAAAAGTATATATACAGTCAAACCCCACTATAGTGAATGAAATGTTCGCTCCTGTGCCTTGCTACATACGTATAATGTTATTTTTTGTGGATATAGTGAACCAAAAAACAAAACAATAAAAGAAGAGAAAGTTGGAATGAACTTTCTTCTGTCTTCAACAAGGCGCGTAGCCAAATTTTTCAACAAGAAATAAGCACTTTTCAAGCACTCAAAAATATTTTTAAGCAGTTTAAAAAATACATAATTAGGCAGGGTTGGCAAGTTTTTGATAATTGACGATTTTATCTAGTTTTAACCACCATGTCAAAAAAAAAATTGACAATTGTCAAAAATTAAGAAATTTTGAATAATTTAAAACGAATGGAGTTTTCATATGCTACGGATCCACGGTACGCCGAAATAGATTGGGGTTGAATTAATTGTGAAAATGTTGAATTGAACAGTGTCTTTTTGCACAATACGTGGCGAAAATCAACATGGTAAAGGGGAAAATTAAGGACTTTTTAAAAACACCCAATGAATAAAGTACCTTTAAGGGCTTTTAAAAAAACGAAAAAAGCACCTTTCAAAAATGCAAAGCACCCTATTAAATTAATCTAAGAAGTTGGCTCACACTGGAGCAAAATTTTTTGATGTGAATATTGAAACACAGAATAATGATATAATTTGCAAAGGAATTTTTTTGTTTTGTCCCATAGAATTGATTCATAAGTAAGGAATTTAACTGTATATATAGTTGTGCATTAAAACAGATCTAAAAAAACTCAAAATTATTTAGGCGCATAAAAACCATTGAATAACATTTTTGAAAAGTCAAACATTTTAAGAAGGAAACAATTTTCTTATTTTATAAATATATTTGCGTGACTTCGATAAAATATAGTTTGTAAAGAGGAACACTAAGTGAAAAAGAAAAACAATATATATAACAAAGGTAAAAAAAACTACTTGATAGGAACTATTCATAAAAAAACAATCTAGCAAGTTTTTTAAGTCAAGCATCATATAAGTGAACTACTACTTCAATATCCTTAACAGTATCTGTAAAATGTATAATAATGTGCATTAAAAATAAATAATTTGACCTCAATGTCCATCACATTCTTTGGAAAGTTTTCTATTTACAAGCATTTGCGAGAAATGAGAATCAAACAAAATAAAACATCACTTAATTATTAAAATAGCATTAAAATGTTTATATATGATTGATTCATCCCCTGTGGCAGACATTTTTCAGGTTTTCTGCAATATGCATCTCTTACTAGTATTTTTCTGCAAGACATTTTTAAAAATAACAAACATACATGTTACTAACCTAAAGTAACAGAAGCGTCAACTTCAAAGCAAAAAATAAATAACTTTTCGGTTAAAATAAAATTGTTTTTTATTTGAATATGTAATTTTTTTAATTCCAATATTATGGTCGATATTCTCGCACTTTGTAGGGGAAAAAAACATTAATTATTTCTTTATTCGCATTTTGTAAATCCCCATCACATAAAAATAAGTAATAAAAAAATCTTGAAATCCAAAGCAGTAAATATTGAAAAAAAGATCGACGACTAAATCGAGGGAGTCTGACTCTTTCGAAAAGGGGTTATTAAATGTGTGTTCTCATTTCGAGATTCAATTTTTGCAATAAACAATATCATATTAAAAATATAGCATTTTTAAAACTATGTGGAAATCAATAGTCATAACTACATAAAAAAATTGAACAAAAATTTCTGCAGAAAAGAAAACCAAAAATTTTTACTTCCCAAAGGAAACTTTTTTCTGCAAGAACTCTATTGCGTTCTGCGATAATGTCGCCACGATTCTGCCATGGGGGATTTGTCAATAAAACTTAATTGTCAAATTTATGATTCTTAGTAAAGTTAACAAAAATATCAATTCTTTTTTTTTAGTTTCAAGATGAATCCTGGAATGTATTGATTTATGGTGGAAATAATTAAATGCTTTGGAAAATGAACACAAAAACGAGATCAGCAAAATAGATAAATAATTTTGAATTTAAACACATTTTGGTTATTTTAAACATACACTTCAACTTGCGTGTGCCAAAAATAGTTTTATATTATACATTTTTTACTTCAATGATAACGATTCACTTTTCTTTGCAGCCCTTGAATATTTTCTTTCAATTCCTTTTATGAAAATGATTCTATGCAATGATTATGAACACACTTTATTAAAGCATTTTTGAATATAAATGCAATATGATTTTTTTAATCATAATATCGTAAAATCAATCAATTTTCTAAAAACAGCAAAATGCATTTATCTTATTAATACCATCTTTTGAAAAAGTAAAAGCCCCAGCCCAAAATTAAAATTCAGGTTTCTCTAATGTTTTGATTACTTTAGTAATTTGGCTAAAATTGTTTTGGATTAATATGTCATAAAAAGTAAGAGTAAAACATAAGAATATGCAAATATAAGTTATTTTTGGCACTCCTATACAGAATTACAATAGAGTGCCAGAATTGAGGTCAGATTCAGCAAACAAAAAAACAGCTGAAGCGGACAACTTTAAAAAATGGGGTTGCCACTCAAATCTGGAAGGAAAGAAATTCCTAAACATATTATACACAATATACTAAGAGGAAACAACTATTACTGTGCTCTTGAGTCAGCTATATTGAACTAACTATACTAATTTTAATTAAGGGAATAGCAGAACATATTTAAAACAAATAAAGCAATAATAAATGAACTAGTTTAATATAGCTGAAATATCCTATAAATTGCATTTTGAGTGGTCACCATTTTTTTTCAAAGACGAAAATACGAAACAAAATTCCCTGTATTTTACCAGTTTCTAGAGAAAAACTCAAAATTCCTTGCATTTTCTCTGTAATTTTAGGTGCTTTTTAAATTCCCCGTTCTCTCTGTTGAGTGGCAACCGTGTTGAATGTAGCTCATGCTTAGTTAAAATGTCAAGTGTAGATTCGATAAAAATAAAATACGTATAGCAATAATTTAGTGTACAGGGTTGCCACTCAAATCTGGAAATAAAATTCCCTGCGCTTTCCCTGTACATATTATACACAATATATTGAGAGGAAACACAATTACTGCACTCTTGTGTGACCAATATTGAGCTAAGTATACTAGTTTTAATTGCTGGAAAAACTTAGAGAAAATGAGAAACAGCTGAACAGACTGAAATATCACCCTTAAATATTCCATAGATTTTGCATTGAGTGGTTGAAAATAAGAAACAAAATTCCCTGTATTTTGCCATTTTCTAAATTCCCTGCTTTTTCCCTGTGGAGGCGTAACCTTGTTGAATGTAGCTCCTGTTTAATTAAAATATCAAGTGTAGATTCAATAAAAATAAAATCAGTGGAGAAATAATTTAGTTGATTAGGTTAATTGGACAATTCACTCAATCTCGGCACTCTTTTGTACATAAAATATTTCTTAAATGGGGAGTTAAGGAACTTATCTAATAAGGAGGGAATTATTCTAATTTCTAATCTTCATCCTCTTCATCCAGTCAAGTAAATGCAATATTTCAAGAGTGTTTGGATCACTTGTCTAAAGAAGAAAAAAAATCTATTATACACTGCAAATAAATACAACATCAGTAAAAAAAGATTTGGTGTGAGTAAAATTAATCATTTATAATAAAATAGAAACCTGTTTATTGTTTTAGAGGCCAACTTAGAAACACAGGGGTCTGTCCAGGTTTTTATAAGAGGTACCTATTTTGCGAAAATTAAGACATAATTTGTGAAAATTAAAAATTACATTAAAATATCAACATAAAAATATGGTAAAGTAAGAAAATATTTTCTACTTTACCATCACCGTACGTCACTATAAATAAAAATAATTTATGACTGGTAAATTTCTAAATTCATAAAAATTATTGTCCATAGTTAAATTTCAACTTGAATTAAATAAAAAACATGCATTTAACAGTACTAGTACTAAAAGTTATTATAATTAGAACATTTTCAACTGGGTCATACAGAAAAAAGTTTCACACAGAAAAAAATGGTTCATAAAAAACAAAGATCCGTTACAAAATATTTACATAGTGGTGTTTAAGATAATGTTCAAATTTTGACATCCTGTAAAGTTCATATAGAACCTCGTCGTTTAATTTAAAAAAACTCAGCAGGTAAAAAAAAAGCGGTTACTAAACGCGTAAACAAACAGTTAGGCTTACCACATTGTACTATCTGACCAAACAAGTGCTACCTTTTCCTAAAAGACAGCTGGCCGAAAAACTCTTTTCCGCAAATTACAAAGAGAACGGGGTTTGCATGAAAACGTGGTTTCTGCTTAAGTTGAATTTGTGAAGGTACTGCTAAAGGGTAGTTAATTTACCCTGGACAGACTCCTGAAACGGAATAAGGCATACTTTATTTTACCCCCTATATAATCAGGGATCTGTCCAGGGCATACTTTCTATCATTTAGCGGTACCTTCACAAATTGAACTTTAGGAGAAAACGGTAGTATCACAAAATACTTTAAAAAAAGCAAGTTCTCGCGCAAATCCCATTCTCGTTACAATCCATGGAAAAGAGGAGCTTTTCTGCCAGCTGTCTTTTATGAAAAGGTAGCACATGTTTGGTCAGATAGTGCAATGCCTAACAGGTCACTTACGCCTTATCAAAGCGACCTTTTTTTCTTTTCAAAATGAAACAATGAGGTTCTCCCACCATAAACTGTACAGGAAGTCAAAACTCAAACATTATTCTAAACAATCGAACATTATCCTTAACATTATTGTAAATTTATTCTAACAGAAATTTTTTATGAAACATTTTTTTTCTCTGTGAAACTTCTTTTTGTATGACCTAGTTAAAAATATCTCATAGTGAAAATAACCTTGTACTGTTAAGTGCATGTTTTTATTAAATTCAAGTTGAAATTTAACTATGGACTATGAAAATCATTTCATGGATTTTTAAATTTGGATAAAATTTTTCAACAGCAAAATTATTTTCGAATATATGAGCAAAAATATATAGAAATTTACAAGTCATAAATGATTTTTATTTGTGACAATTTTTAACATATTTCCTTACTTTACCATATTTTTGTGATGAATTTTTAATATAATTTCTAAGTTTTCACAAATTATATCTGAATTTTCACAAAATAGGTACCTCTGAAACAAAACATAGACAGACCCCTGATAATTATATTATTGCAAATCAAACTAGAATACCAATGATAATATTAAAAATAAATAAAATACTAAAATTAAATGATATTACATTCTAACCATCTAATCTCTCACCATAAAACTGCCATAAGTGGAATAAATTATTAAAGCAAATAATTTTAATAATGTGAAATAACAGTAAACATGGATAGGAAAAAAATCCAGTAGATTCTACAAAATATAAATTTCATAATAATTGTTGCAAATATATCAAAATATTTCACAATAGGGAATTTTTTAGGTACTTTTATAGTTATCAAAATAGAAGAACTGCCAATGAAATTATATGACTGCAAGAAACTGTCCGAAAACAACATTAATTTACAATGTAATCACCCCGAATCAAGTGTGCAACAAAAAGTGAACTCTAAAGTGAAACAGGCAAGTAATAATAACATTGCATTAAAAAACAACGAGGAAAGGGCTGAAAAAATTATGAAAATTCGCATGAGCGCCTAAGGTTATAGATTGGAAATAAAACTATAAGTAATCACCATGAAATCAAATAGGTCCAACCACGATTTTCAAATAAAAAATTAACAAATAGTTATTACTGAAATACAAGTAACTTAAACATCATATTATTTAAAATATGGAGATTTAAAATAACCATGGGAAAAAAAATAGAGGAACTTTGTCAATCATTTAACTGATAAAACGATTATAAAACCAAGCTAATTTTAGGTGAATCAATTAGAAATTTTTGCAATTTAAAGTTCATGTGTCATAACACTGTATATAAAACAGCACAATTTGAAAAACCACATAGAAAGGACTGAAAAAATTCTTCACAACTACTGACTTCTAAAGAAATAAAAAAACCATCCAGCAGTTTGAAATTATGTGTCAAGAAGAGATTACTCAAATTAACATGACATAATAACATCTTATTAAAAAAGAATCAAATTTTTGAAAAGAGAAAAAAATATAATATAAAAGTAAAAATTTTATTTACGTTTTTTCTTTTGGAGAAAAAGTAAGAACTTTTAAGCATATTAAACTTTCAAAGAGCTTTTGAAGAGTGCTTAATTTCCATGATGCACAATTATGCTCTAATTAAGCAGATTTAAGGTACCGTCATTCGGGTCTACTTTGTGCAAATTCGAATTTGGCATTTTTCAAGTGCTGCTATTCAGTATTATGTTTATTTCACGTTAAAAATGTGTGGAATTTGAAGATAGAAGTCTCTTCCATTACTACAAACATTTTTTCGAATTTTAAAACAATCTCAAAGTGTGTTTCGTTCATCCAATGCCAACAACTTTTCGAGGACGTCGGATGTCGAAAAGTGTGCGTGGAAACTTTAGCTGTGAAATGCAAAGATGTTGATAAAACAATTGTCGTAAGTGCAAAATTTTTTATTTATATATTAATAAACAATTATATCATGTAAGCGTTAAAGGAATTTGAAAATTAATAACAAATAAACGGAAAATGAAAAAAATGTACTTTGGGGCTACTTTGTGCAAAGTTTCATTCGTTTTTTTTTTCGACAGAAAAATGGTCAGACGTTTCAGAAAAAATACCTGGAACGAAAAACTACCATGATTACGCTCCAGAAAAGCTGCAACAATGCTGCTGCAACAAGCAGTTGCTGGTGGTATGTCGATTGTAGAAGCTTTTCGGAAGTACAAAACCAACAGAAATACTATCTTAATAAAATTCACAAGAAACACGTGAAACGTGCTGGTAAACTATTATTTTTCTACTGCAAAGATTTTTCTAATGAATTAATCAAACGATTTAACACATAAAAATATATTTTATAGGACATCAGGTGATTTTGACAGAAACTGAAGAGCAAGTTCTGTCATGTTCATTCAAGGATGTTATGTTCAAATTTAACAATATTATAAATGTTAATGAATATGTAATAATTATTATTTTTAAAATTTCATCCATTTCAATGTTTAAAAATGTATATGGTTTTCTTTTTTTTAAACTCAAATGTTTTGAAATAAACATTCTTTTTAAGAAAAAAATTCTTCAAAAAAATGGTTTTTTAACGCTGAAAATTATTTTCAAACTAATATCTTTACATATCTTGATGTTTTTGTCTTTAAAAATGTCAACAATTAACTTTTTTAACAATTTTATATCAATATTTTACTAAAAACATGATTATTAAACTGAATTCCTATCGCTGCACAAAGTAGCCCCATTTGGGGGCTACTTTGTGCAAGGTATGTTTTGACTTATTACTCGTAAATATTACATACAAATAATGCCAATATTTATCAAATTCACTCGTCTGAGTCCAGTTATGAATATAATAAAGATAAATTTTACTAAAGTTTGAATTAACATAGTTTTTTTACATGTCAAAGTTCAAAAACTGCGAAATCCTGCACAAAGTAGCCCCGAATGACGGTACGTACTACAGAAAAAGGAAATTTAATTCAATATACGAAATTTTATGTTCTGCAGCTCCACAGCAGATAAGAAAACAAAATTTAAGATAGATGAAGGATAAAATCATTGCTCGGTACAGTGAATGGCTCTCAAGAGGAATTGATTTGAAAGGGGAAATTTCTTCACATATTCAATCCTCTTCTACGCCCAACCTATTTGGGTGAGTCCTTCTTTACTAGAGCAAGAGGATTGTATTATCATGGGTTTAGGGAAATGTAAAGTCTTTCTTTTGATTGAAATGGGGGGGGGGAAATTGTGATATTAAAATTAGTGAGATAAGTGACTAAGCCTTAAAAACAGTAATACAAGTTGCTATTTAAGATAGTGATATTAAGTGAGAAAAGTGACTCACGCATACTCATGCACAGAATTTATATAATTTCTTACATCATGGCTATTACAAATAAAAACAAATGTCATTTTTATTTTTTACAGTTAACAGTTAGTCAGTTTTTAACAGTTATGAATATTTGCTAAAAACTCAGTTATAAAAAATAGATGAAGTAAAAAAAAAAAATTTAAGCAATAACATATTTTTGATCGAATATGAATGATACTACTTGCTTTTTTCAAGTAATCACTCACAACACATAATAAAGTTTTTAAACTTCGATTAAAATAATTTTCACTTTGATGCACAGCATGCAAAGAAAAGAAAACTTTAAATATTGTTGACCTAATGATCAGATTTTCCCATAAAATGACTCAATTTTAAGAGCACAAAAGCATAATAATATATTTTCAAATTTAACAGAGTAAGATATTTTAAGCAATGAAATTAAATTCAAACTTTCTCTAAATAAGCATACAATAATCTAATCTAATAAGCATTGAAACATTTTTTCAGCAATTTGCGGTTTATCTGAACTCGCTTTTCTTTCAACTCGAAATGGTGAAGTTCTGTCAATTGGCGATGGACAATAATTGTAGTTATTTCCTTTAATATTTTGATAGTTATTGTTAAACAATTAATTGCTGGCATCAAGTTTAAGTAAATAGTTTCATAAAATACATATGGATCACTTATGCAATAAATACATATGGATCACTTACTGCATCCTAACCGTCGACCCAATTTCGGGTTTATGGCTACAAATGTTCCACTCCTTGTCATTTTAAACCCAATCCAGAAGACAAGAGGACTGCGGGATCAAGTATTGGGAGAAATTTGCCTTTGTAGAAAGCTTTTTAGATGGAACTGATCTGCATTGGGGAGGAAACCATGAAAACCTCCCATGGTTAGCCTGACGGCAAAGCCCATGATCCGTCTACCACTGAGGCTAGTTTACGTCAGTACTGTGGTCAGTGTAAGTTGGATGGGGAATTCGTATCGGCCAGTCATTGATTTGAACCGGGTTCACCTCATTGGAAGGAGATCACTCCGTCCAATGGTTATTGCCACATTACTTCCAAATTAGCTTTGCTTCACAGGAATACTACTCCATCTGTCAAGTCAATAATGTATGACTGTGTATAAATAGTCTATTTCATGGAATGCCGTCCATGAAACTGTTAAGAGTGTGGGGCAGACACTGGATACTAATGACTTTTATTACTTCCTCCTGCTTGCTGAACTTGTTACTACTGTTCTGTCTTGGACAGCTGTTGAAGTAAAATAACTGACCATAGTATGTATCAAGGTGCATAGTCAGATTTTTCAACAAAAAATAAGCACCTTTTAAACACTCAAAAAATATTTTTAATCACTTTCCAAAAAAAAAAATTTATAATTCATACTTAGGATCTGTGCAGTAATAAAAATTATTATTTTTTTTTAATTGTTTAAAGTTCTTAATTTATTAATGTAAAATCAATAAAATTCAGAAACACTTTCAAAAACTTTACATAATGATGATAAATTTAACTAGTTTCTGATGAATATTGCAGAGAAAATAGTGAAAGTCCTGCATTTTTTTTATAATTTAAAACAAAAATCGCCACGGCAAAGAAAAAAAATAATCTCCTTTTATAAAATAGAAAATTAAGCACTTTTTACAAACCCTGAATAAAAATAGCACCTTTAAGTAAAGTGACCACACGTCCCGATTTTGGCGGGACAGTCCCTCCAGCTTTCTAGTGGACTGTCCCGCCGATTTTTAAAAATGTTCCGCTTTTTAGAAAATATCGGCATTTCTTATTTTAAATGTACTGAAAAATATATTACCTATTATTTATTAAGTATTATGGTGAATATAAAGAAATAAAAAAATACATTAAAAAAAGCACGTAAAATGCATGCAGAGTAAACTAAATTAGGCAATGTACCGAGTTAGATTTACTCGGTGGTGTTCGATCATTGTCGTTACGTCTCGGCTTAATTCAGATAAGTGCAGACAGTGCAGTTTGTTGTTTTCAATTTGACGCTCGGTTTGACTCATTATTTGATTGACGAAGATAGTGGTAATGCAATAGTCGCCACAACGTAACGGTCAAAAATACAAAATTTAATCATCTTTTTTAGCCTTTGTAGTAAATTTTTTATTCATTTCTAGTATTTACCCACAGAATAAAATATGAGTAAAAAAAGAGAATGCAAATTTAATGAAGAGCTAAGCAGTGAATTTAAATTTATTTAAAAAACCAAAATAGACTATATGGTACGGTGTGATAAATGCAATTCTGATTTTTTGGTCTCACATGGTGGAAAAAACGATATTGCTAAACATCTAGCGACAAAGAGGCACAAAAGATTTTTGAATAATGCCACTTCTTCGTCTGAAATGGAACAGTTTTTTCGCACTGCTAGCTTTGGCAACATGGAAAAACACCTAGCATTAGCGGAAGGGCAATTTGCTTTCCACAAAATAAACCTTGATCTCGAAATCAAAGTTTCAGATCAATGAATTATACGTCGCAAATTATCAAAACATTATACGACAAAAAATATGCATGTGCAAGGACAAAAACCTAAGCAATTATTTGTAATATTTTTTCACCATATTCATTTTCACAATTGCAGAAAGAATTAGAAAAATGCACATTTATATCCATGAATTCTGATGCTTCCAACCACAAAGATTTAAAATTATTTCCCACAATTGTTAGATTTTTTGATCCAGAAACAGGAATTAAATATAGAATATTAGATTTTGTTTCATTGCCGAGTTAAACTTCAAATAATTTTTGATTCAGTAAGTACAATTTCAAAAAAGAATAATTTGAACCTATGAAATGTTACAGATGAAAAAATTAAATGTTGGTTATCTGCAAATGTGGAAACAGACAAAAAATGGAGCGAGTTATTCCTTCATTTTAAACAGAATAATATTCCTTATCAAAATATTTTGAAAATTGTAGAATTCGCTCTCTCCCTTCCAGGAACAAATGTAGCAAGTGAATGTGTTTTTTCTAGTATCAATAAAATATGGACAGCTGAAAAAACGCAGTTGAACATTAAAAATCTATTTTAAGTGTAAAATATAATTTGACCAATTCATGTGAAATATTTCACGACATTTTAATAAATGATCCGAATCTATTGCTAAGTATTCACTCAGATCAAAAATATGACCAAGAAAGAAAATCATAATGTTCAAAATATTATTTTTTACAAATATTTTTATAGTTACCAATAATTAATAATAAATACATTTTTGTACAAGTATATGAATGTATACAATAAAATATATATAACTAAATTGTAATTCTTATTTCATCCCATTTGTCCCGCTTTGTCTCAATGAAAATGTGGTCACTTTACCGTTAAGGGATTTTAAGAAATGTAAATAAAAAATAGGCACTTTTAAGCACTTCTTAAAAAGTGCTATGCACCCTGTAATGGATAGACAACACAGAGAGTCGGGTGCATTTACAAAATAGTAATGGAAGAGAAACAGAATTTGTTGCATAGTATAGAGTCTTCTTAATCTTCTTATTTAGTTTTGTACACTGTAGAAGCACCCCACTTAAGCATCCATCAGCAGGGGTCTGTCCAGATATTTTGTGAAAGGTCCGTTTTTGTAAAATTGCAAAAAAATTATTCATAATTTGTGAATATAAAATAAACGTTAAGTCACATTCTTTCAACCAGCATCCTGCTTTTGTGAATTTGCGCAAATAGGGTCCTGTTATTGCAAAAAACTTTGTCGAGGAGTTTTTAACTTGTAAATAGATACAAGATTATGCTCAACACTGTAAAATTATAATTAAAAAAAATTAAATTTTAAAAAATAAACAGCAATTGCTGCTACTAAATTAGAGATGCAAGATACAAATATTTGGTATTTAGCCTATACTGCTGAACGCAGAATATTCATTTCGGACGAATAATGGAAGAATCGTCTGCCGAAGACAAAACTTAGTTCGTTTACATGTCTTTCTTTCCCCCCACTCCCCTGGGAAGAATTTATTCGATTAACAAAACAATAATGAAGATAAACAAATTTGCAAAGGGTCCGATTAAAAGATTATTATTTTGTGAAGGGTCCGTTTTTAAGTTAAAATATTTTGTGAAGGGTCCGTTTTTATGAAAAAACATTTTGTGAAGGGTCTGTTAACTGACCCAAATTTCTTCTAAACAGACCCCTGATCAGTATCAAGTAAACAAGGTCTATGGACTTACCATTGTGTCAAATGTGACATCAGAATTATCTTCGAGTTCTGGCACGAGTTTGAAATCTAAACGCACTGCTTCCTCGTGGGGCGTGTTCTCTACTGTGATGATCTCCGCCTTCGACTTGTATCCATTCTTCGCAGCAGTGATACGGTATTTACCAGGAGTGAGAAGTCTCCAATACTCACCACCGTCCACTGAAACAACACAACACACATTAGAAAACAAAAAAGATCGGAATGATATTCCAGAGGTTTTGCTAAACTTTGGATACTATGGGCCCTAGAACATTTTGAGTCCTTTTAACAAAAAGAAAAAGTCCTTTTAACTAAAAAAAAAACTAGGAGCATCCCCCCACTGCTCGCTAATCCCCATAATTGATTATCATTCATTACAGTTTAAACTAAAAACCAGTGGGTCATGGCCTACTGTGCCCATCTCAGTTTTCTTGACGTTGGACTTCGGGGTGCATGAAGAGAATTTCCGGTTAGGTGGTCAGACGAAAGCTGCACCCCCCAGTGTTTTTTGGTATTCATTTATCGACCCACTAAAAGACGCTGAGTCAACCTTACCCGGCACGAGGACATACTTGCCAACTTAAAAAAACTGGCGTCAGTAAAACTTTTTTTCATGAAAAATTTAACGAAGACTATTCGAATTATTTAATAAGTAACAATACACCACAAATGAATAATAAATATATTAATTATAGAATCTATCACATGATTGAATGTTGAAGTGAGAAGCAAATTTTCATTAAATTTTTAAATTGCATTTGTCAGAAAATGTACAGAAATATCTAATCAACCATTCATTTATCATCTCATCATTTCAAATTCGATTACAATTATTTCAAATTCTATTATCAATTCTATTACAATGATGCTACTTTTTTAAAAAAATGCTATATGCAAAATAAAATAGTTCTTTAAGGGTTTTCTTCTAAATCAACAGCAAAAGAGGATGCTGAATTTAAAGAAGCTGAAGTAGTCTTCTTTGCTTTAATTAAAAAAAAATTTTCAAACACTTGTTCGTGACAGATTTTAGAAAATTTGGTTTTTAATATAAGCAGGCTTTCTAAAGTTTTATTAGACATAATTGTTTGCGATTCAGTACAGTTCTTTCTAACCAAACTAAAAATTCTCTCACATTCTGAATTTGAATGAGCAGGGATGAGATTGGCCAAAAGGCAAAAAAGCTGAATTTCCACGCGAGTAATTCTTACGTGGTTTATAGCAAAAATATCAGTAACATATTCTCATCCAGTTTCGCTGATGTTGTGATGCATATATATAGCAATAATCGACAATAGAAAAGCTGCCACATTTATAGTATAACTAATTCAAGAAAAAAAACTTACTTTTCACAAGAATTGCAATACAGTTTGAACTCCTTAATGTTAATTTTACTTTCCGTGTACTTCGTCATATTTCAAAACCTTTTTGAGCAATCGAAAATTTTTTTCACACTGTTATAAAATTTGTTTATCCAAAGCAAATGCAAAAAATAAGTTTTTGCCAATATTTATTATGCTTGGGAGTTAACCTCAAATATGCTAATTAAAGCAGACGCCATTTTAAGTTATGAAATTGTACACAAAAATGTATTTTTGGACGAATGATTATGAGCCCTCAAAATATAGCCACAATAAGGTCTCTTTAGTTAGGTCAGGAAAGCAAAATTTAAATATCGATTTCACGGGAACTAATTGACCGCAAACATCTACATGTACAGTGCGTAAAAAAATAAATGGACCACAATGAATATCTTTTGATCTAGTGATCGGACCTCCACGTTCTAGGACTCAATCTCAATGGTTCAAGGAGGTGAGTTTAAATATGCTAATTAAATAGTGCAGACAATATTTTAGGTTACGAAGTCAGACACAATAAGTTTTCTTAGAATAACAATACCCTTTTTTCAACGGACTCAGATTGTTAATCCCCAAAATTTATAGGGGGTAGCCGCAATCAGGGAAACATGATCTCCATAGTTTAGACAGGAGAGCGATCCAAAGTTTGAACATTTTAATGTAAATTTAATTTTTTGCGTATTTTAACATATCTCGGGAAATTTCTAAGGAAGTTTTAAAAAAAATTTCACACAATTATAAAATTTGTTTATCTAAAGATAATTCCATGCAAAACATAAATTTCAGTAAATATTTATTTATTAAATAATTGTCAAAAAATTTTGAATTATAAGGTACAAAATTTTTTACATGGCAATATACAAAATTTGATAGTAGTTGGTTGAATAGTTCCTGAGAAATATAATTTAAAAAATTTGGTTTATTTAAGGAAAGGTATGTTTATTCAGTGAAAGTACATTTTGTGTCTGATTTTGTAACTTAAAATACTGTCTACACTTTTAATTAGCATGTTTGAGGTCCCACTCTCGAACCATTAAGATTGAGTTCTAGAAGGTGAAGATACGATCATTGAATCAAAAGGTTATTCAGGGTGATTTATTTATTGTTTTGGTGCACGGTACATAACTCACAAATTGACACAGTGAAAATACAAGAAAAAAAATTAAATTTGGTATAACTTCAACTCATTATGAAATTGAGAAAGTTATGAAGCAAGAGACAGATAAATATAAAACTCTGAAATGAATGAGAAAAATAGCAAAAAGGGATTTTGGGAATACAAAACAAGACCACAAACTTTTCAAGCAAAGAGGATTAAGTGATGAAATAATGAGTAATTTAAAGGTATAGTCATAGATGTTACAGTAACTCTTGATTCTATCTCAAGTGATTCTTCTTGATCGACTCATTTCATTTTCTAAAGAAGTTGAGAGAAATTCAGGAATATGGTGCCGCAGATCATTTTAAGAGTTACTTGGGTTTGCACTTTCAAAAAAAAAAACTATTAATGAAAGAAACCTTTTACAAAATATTTTACCATTTCATTTTAAAAATTATATTGATGTTTTCAAACTTCTTCGCTGCTTAAAATGCAAAGTGAATCAAAGCTCTAATGCAGTATTCACAGATACTACAAAAAACTTATGTTACTAATAATATTTTCTTGCTATTCTTACGTTTTATTTTCCCAACAGCAGTAACAAAATTACTAATATGGCGTTAATCTTTCATTTTTGAATTAGCAGCGGTGATTGTGAGCTCAATTCAAATATCCTGAAAATTTCTTGAGTAAAATCATTAATGACGCATTTCAAATAATTGATGTCCTTAGAAATTTTAATCATTGATATTTTCAAAACATGAAATTCTAAATAAATTACAGACAGCATAATTTAAATGAATAATTATGCATAAGTTTTCTTTTATCTCTAATCACATTTATTATTCTACTAAAAAAAATATTTACAAACAAAAAATATGCCAAGTATAAATTATAGTTCTAATATTTCTAAATATAAGATACAAGAATTTTTATACATAAATGTAATTGATGATTTCTTGAAACTTCTGGACCATGGATTTCCGGATCGCAATTAGTAAAAAATCGGTAGTTTTTCCGGAGCACAATCGTCCCTGAATCAGTAATCGATTGTTCAAGATTTTTTAAAAGCGAATAAGAACAAGGACTAACTACTAATTAGGATATAAAAATATGAAAGTTAAAAAGAAAGCAACTTACCAGAAGTAATATCGTGATCAATTTTACGATTACCAGTTACATTGAACACTTTAATTGTAACACCACTTAAAGGCAAGCCAGACTCAGCATCTTCAATTATTCCTTTAACACCAATATGGCTCTAAAAATAAATTTATGTTTTATTACTTAGGAATTAAAAATATTTTAATCTTGTTCTACACTAATTACCGGAAAACAATAGAGGCAATCACACTCCCGGACACAGAATAGCATCAACACGGCGTTAAAAAATTTTTTTAATTTTCTTTCATACAGTTATTTACAACAAAGTAAAATTTGAATCATGCATTAAGATAATCACAGTTGGACGCACTCAATTTACGCTGATGGTATTGTAAATCAATACAATGTTCCGATTGTATTTTGGGCAGTTGTTGATATTGATTTTCATGCGGTTTTTAAATATCCCAATATATTTCAAACAATATGGAAAATTCAAATCGTGCATTTGAGTATTTACTTCTTAAGGCAATAATACTATGAAATTTTTGGTAGTTATTGCTATTGATTTTTCCATAGTTTTTAAATCTGATATTTTTACATGATAATATTTATTACTTATTACAACAACCTTATCTCGAAATAAAACACGCATTTGGGGAGTCCAATTCGCATGATTTCGTTGTTCTTTTTTTTGGAAATTACTACTATGGATTTCATGATTTTTAATTATTTTTTTTCAAAATTATTTTAAATTAAAATCCTCTACAAAAAAATTAAAATTATTTATTTACAAATTTTAAAATTATGGGGATCACACTATGGGTTTTCGACCAATGCATTAACCTAATAAAACCCAGAGGAGTTTTTGTCTAAAGAACCTGTTTGACACGTTCAGATCAGAGTTTTTGGGTTTATCAATCATTATCAAAATCAGTACTTTCTTTTTAGATCAATTTATTTCGTATTCAACTTTCAATATACACTGAGGTGATAAAAGTCATGGGATAGCAATATGAAAATATACACATGACAGAAATTTTGAGCACAAAATGTATAAATGGGTTACAGGGCTACCCACACACATGCTCATAAAACAGTTTTTTTTTTTAAAAATCCATCTAAAAAAATGAGTTGGTTTTCCAACCTTTTTTTCCATCTGCTATTACTAATTATTGTTAAACCTAAACACATTTTTAAACATTTTTGCAAATTATTTTATCATTTATAGAATCATGATTACATGCTTTAGCATGTACTTGAGCAAAAAATTTTTTTTAACACATTTTAGAAATTTTCATCTTATGGAAACATTATACTTTATATAATAAAAAATATCTAAACATAGCTGAAATGGAACACTTTTGGTATTTTACAAAAATATTTTACCCTTTGATGATATAACATAATATTAATTTTATAAGAAAATTCTGTAATTTACATTAAGCAATGTAAATCAGCAATTATCAGCAAAGTAAAAATCAAATTAAAGCCAAATTTAGTTAAAAGTTTTTTAATAGTCTCTTGCTTTGCTTGCTTGTTAAATGTCTGTAAACTTTTACAAGCTTTTAGTTTTTTTTTAACAAACTGTTTTGCTGTTTGGACCGAACAAATCCATTGCTTGGTTGATTTAAGTTCTGGTTCTGCGTTACTTTTTGAATTAAAAGTTAAGTAATAATTAAAAGCCATCTTATTTTTCGTATGCTGATAATGGTCAAATTTTAATTATAATAAATGAAAAAAGAGCTGCTGGGTTGGAAAGAATATTGGGTGTTTTTTTTGACAGGATTACTTTTTGAATTAAAAGTTAAGTAGTAATTAAAAGACATCTTATTTTTTGCATGCTGATAATGGTCCAATTTTAATTATAATAAATGAAAAAAGAGCTGCTGAGTTGGAAAGGATAATGGGTGTTTTTCTGACAGGATTACTTTTTGAATTAAAAGTTAAGTAATAATTAAAAGACATCTTATTTTTTGTATGCTGATAATGGTCCAATTTTAATTATAATAAATGAAAAAAGAGCTGCTGGGTTGGAAAGAATAATGGGTGTTTTTCTGACAGGGTTGTCATTTAGTTATCATCAAACTATATTTTAAAATATCTATAAAACAGAGTTTAAATTAAATTAATTAATTGAAAATGAGGAAAATTTTTTGCTATATCTCATCTCATAAAAAATGAAATAAAGCTGCATAACAACTTAATTCGTTTGTTTGATTAAGCGTTTTAAAACTAAATTTATGTTTAACTGATCTTCTAATATTAATACTGTATGCTGTTATAGACTTAGTAATAAAATTATATACTATGTAGTAAAATCAGGGTTTGAAAAACCCGGGTATTTAAAAAAAACAACAACCCGTCTGGGTTTTATTGAAAAAACCCAAGGGAAATTGGGTTTTTTCATTTATTGCTCATAAACTTTAAGTTTTACAGTGAAAAATATTATTTATTAAAAAGTGTTGTATAAGCTTAAAAATGGAAATAAATCCAAAAAGTTACTTTAATTTTGTTACATGTATTTTATATTAAGTTTAAATAATGCATTATTATTAATACTTATTTGAATCTTCCTTATTATTGAGTACATAACATTTTACAATTTTTAACTCAAGCATTATAAAATATAAATGCAGTAATATAAAAGTAACAAGTTTATTAATCTTTATGTTTTCACACACATTTATTAACTATATTTATTAAACTTATATATATTACCTATTATAAAATTATAATAAGTAAATATTTATAATCAGTAAAAATTAAAATTTCATCTTACTTTTGACTTTAATAAGAAACTGGAATAAATATTTAATGGTATTCCATGTTTTTTTAGTAAGATTAAAAGAAAGTGAAATTACACGTAATTATAAAGAGTATCAGTTACTTGTCCCATCTTTTTCAAATAATTAACCCTAGGAAAATGATTTCATTTTTAGATGAATAATTTTAAAAAGTTCTCTTGCTTATAAAAAGTTTTAGCTTATTTTTTTTAAAACCAGAAAATATAACTGTTTAAATGTGTTAATGTATCACTTAGTAAAAAAATTGTTTCTTTTCAATTTTTTTTAAACATATGAATTAATAATATTAATATATAAAGCATGTAACTATATTTGAAAAATTAATCTTTTCAGATTATATTATTTAAATTTCTATTTGATTTAATTTCATTAAAATATTACTTTTTGAAAAAACCCACTTAAAATTTTCAATAGTACTATAAAATTATAGATTCGAGTTTCTATTACTTTACAAATTTTAAAAACTTAATCATATAAATCATGCAACTCTATAGAAGGTAAGGTTGAAAGACAAGGAATTTAGTTTGAATGAAATATAAAGAAGATATTTAAAAAAAAGTATTTTAATAAAATATATTAAAGCAAAGCGTTCTATTTATGTATCAAATCTGTTGCCACCCTTTTTATATAAAAGTTAAACTTTTCTCCGGAGTGATAAAATTAAACTTATGCGAACTTTACATCTATCTGAAAAGTTTATGCTGCACACTAAATTATATAAAATTAAATGTGCATCAATAAGTTTTAATAAGGCATTATTATTATTATTTTTAAAAAAACCCACTTATCAGTCCAAGTGGGTTTTTTCAAGGTGGGCCCACCCAATAAAACCCGTGCGGGTTTTTTCAAAATGGGCTCAGTTGGCGAACCGGCTCGGCTGTAATGGTTAAATTTAATGCTTCTAAAATGCTTCAATGTTAAAAAACAGGTATTTTATTAAGTTACATAATATGAAAAGTTACTCTATTTTGTAGCAGAATTTCAGATTTTAACATAGATATTCCAGAGTATCTAATAGATTTTCACAAATGCTCAGAAAAATAAAATTTGCTGTAACATTTTTTTCTTTTTTTTTTACAAGAGTTTTTCTGGAAAAAACATCAGAATTTTGGGTACCTCACATACATATTTATTTATTTTCCCTGACTTTTTGGGAATTCTGTTCAAATTTCTCAACATTTCCTTGTCTTTGGATAAAATTCTCTTGACTTTTCCCTTTCTTACCTGCCAAATATAATCAATAAGAGCCTCTTTATTGTTTTCCCATTCTTGACTCAGCTTAGAAGTTGGAGGATATTTGTCACAGCCTAGTTCTAGGGTTATCTCAAAGTCATTTGAGCTCAAGTAGTTGAAATCTTGCATCCCTATAAAATGAATAAAGCATGCAATAAATTTTCTTGTTTAATTTGTCTTAATAATCTTGTAACTACATTTACATTGTTGTTATATGCAAGAGTGGGAAAAAAATTAGTTACGCATGCGTAACTCATTCACCTTACTTTCAAATAAAACCTGCATTTTTACACTTACATCACTGCGATGCCACAATAGGCATTACATATCTCCTAGCCTTTAAAATGTCTTAAAACTTATTTTTTCAAATCATTCTTTATCGAATTTTAAGTAAATTAGACCACTTATTTAATTCTTATTACATTTTTAAAAAAGTGATTATTAAATATTGTATCCTTTCATTTCAATACAAATGCAGACTCATTACTTTACTGTTGCGACTAAAATCGAAAAAAAAAATTTAGTTATAACTCTTTATTCCTCACTACAAATATGTTTCAGTTACATGGTTATACTAATTCTCACTGTCTTTTTGGCAATTCGTGATTGCCAAATTATTTCATTATTTTATATTTTTATATTGATTATGGGGTATTGGCTTGATTTTTGGCTATGTTATCTTTTGATAAATAGTCAACCATGGATCTCTTCCCATGCTCCTAACTGCCTGTTGGGAACAATTCAATCACTTTTTAATTTGGCATTTGATTAATGCTGGTCAAGGCAGATTTATCTGGCATGGGCTGTCATTATTAATATTATTTAACTTAGAAAGTCCTATTATGGATAAAATATAATTTTGTATCTCGAGCTCTACAATTACTTAATAAAAGTTTTATTATAATTATGATCCAGTTTTCATCTTCAACTGTTTTCATGATAATCTTCAATTAGTCAATTATACCATGCAACCACACCTAATTTCATCATTATAATCACTAAAACATATTCGGACATAGTATTTTCTAATTTTTGTTGCCTGTTATCCAAAATTGTCCAAGCATCTCCACTTACATAGTCACCAATCTTATTTAGGAAAATAAAACATATTATACACAATGCATGTTATACACTGTACATATTATACACAATACATTAATAGGAAACACACTTTTGCTCTTGTGTGAGCTATATTGTTCTAATTATACTAGTTTTAATTGCTGGAGAAACTTAGAGAAAGGTGAACATGTTTAAAACAAATAATGCTATAGTAAATGAAATAGTTAGGTATAGCTGAAATATTACCCTTAAATATTCCATAGTTTGCACTGAGTGTTTAAAACTCAATTTTTAAACAAGAAATTTTTTAAAACATCTTTAAATCATAAAATTAATTCTAGTAGTTATCTTTAAATTTTTCCAAACATTTTATGTTATTCCATTGAATATTTAAGAAGTTACAGAAAGGCAAAAATTAATTTTTCATAAAAATGTCCATATCTCCATAAATAGTTACTCTAGGGTTACGAAACTTTATGCAGTTATTTAAAACAACAACTAATGTAATCCATACAAGTTACAAGTTTTCTGCTTGATTTTCTGGTATAGGGTGTTCAAAAATACTTTTTTTCTTTTGTAATTTATCGTAGGTCTTCCAAATTTCTGAAATCTTTAAATCTTATTGCTAAGTAAGAAAAGTTGCATAAACTAAACACCTCTTAAGTTACAAAATAATCAATCCCTTAAGTATTTCTTGAGAAATTTTTAAAAAAATTTCAAAAACTGAAATTGTCTCGTCCATTAGTGTATGGTAGTTTGTGTGTATATATATATAT